ATTACAAGTTTTAGTACCCTCTGCAGTTATTTACGTTTAATAAAATGTAGTGTTTGCATTTTTTTTAGTACTATCAAAATTGTGACCATGGCGAATATAAGACTTTTCCAATAAGCGAAACTTTATTATTTAGTAAATAATTAATAAAATGTTTATTTTATTTATGTTTCTTGATACTTTGGTAAAGTATACGTTAGAACTATTATAACGATATTAAGTACATTTTTCGACGAATTTGAGAAAAAAGAATCGTTTTGAATACTGTTTTTTAAAGTTAACGTTCGTATTCGCGTTCTTCTTCCATATTAATTTTCGTTGGTATTTCCCTTAATATTATGCCAATTATTTTCACGAAGAAAAATAAACCTAAAAATTGCGAATGCGATTTAAATATACAATTATGCCGCTTATTAAATGAAAAGGCTCAGTCCAAAATTTATTCCATTTGCCGGAATATCTTTCTGCTGACGACTCCCGTACATATAATTTTGAGTCTTTGTTCTTCTCGCGAAAAGGTTGAAATATTTATGTAATTTTACTTTTGAGTTAAAAAAATCTGCTTCAAAAGTATATGCTGACATGCAAGATATGGCAAATGGGAATAAATTTAATTATTAAGATATTAAATAACATTCTACATGAAATAAATTATTGTTCCCAGAGTTACAGCATATAATACAATGGTTTTAAAAATGCATAACTTTCTTTGCTTATCCTTCGAGTTACATAAAACAAGAAGATTTTAAAAGATACCTCTAATGAAAAACTCCCATGTAGGAAAGTTTTTCTATTGATGAATGATATTAATGCCAATTTCAACTGAATTGAATTTCTTTATAATTAATTCCAATATAAAAATAAATTATTGAAAAGACCTCTGCGTTTTTCGCTACAAAAAAATGCCTAAAGCGGACAAGAAACTCTTAGAGCGTCTGCACAAGGGTCGTCTGGTTTTCGAAGCGAAAGCGTCTCGAACTCCAAGCGAATGTCCCTCTACTCTACCTTCGTATAGTAAGTACCGTATCAATACTTAGTAACCGTATACCGTAATACTTAGTAAACCGTAATACTGTAAAACCGTAATACTTAGTAACCGTATCAATCACATCAACTCCGGTTCGACTGCCAAACGACACGTTCGTGAACTTACTATTATTTACGTAGGAAGTAGAATTGAAACGCTTTGTAACGTTTTTAGTTTGTTACATGTCTTTTATATATAATATATGATGTCTGGCGTATCGTCACCGGATTCCGTATCGCTCAGGCCTAATAATTTATTAGACACGCTTGGCGTAGTTCTAACGTTCTCAGGTCGACAACACTGCGCTGCTCTGTGGGCATTTATTTTTCAAGGTCCGCTCCCCGTGATATAACCTCACTTTTGGTTTTGCCGGTTTGTCGCCATCAGCAACCCGGCTTAGAAAAATGATAATTGTTTAAATCTTGCTGCATAATCTGAATCAGCTGCTATTTGCTACAGACAAACATGAAATTTATCTTTTTTAGATTCGATATTATTATTGAGTATTTTTAGGTTAGAGTTTTGGATTGGCCGAACTTAACTTGTATTTGTATTTTGCTGGCACATTGGCGTTCTTTTGCCTTTGTCCTCCAGAATGTTGAATGGAAGAAAGGACAATTGCCTTTGTTTATTATTGAGCACTCGGAAGTATTTCGAGGTAGGTTTATTTTGTTTATTAGACCTTATTTGGTTTTAAACAAGAGTTTCGTATTTTTAGGGTACAAGGTACGGACATTATCCTATATAAGTGTAGTGATTCCTATGGTCGGATGCCCTATATACGGGTAGTTTTCCTATGGACGGATGTCGAAGGTGCGGACAGTGTCCTATATTGCCCCAGTATGGATGTACTGTAAGCCCCATGCTGCTTTGCTCCTGTTTTTAAGCTTAGTATGTACGGCTGTATTGGTTTATGCTGTACTCATTTTGGCCTCTTTCCTTGTATTGGCCAACGATGAAGCCGAGAGGGAGTACAGAGAGACGAGTCCCAACTCACGCTGTACTGTTTGAAGCAGGATTGCCTTAAATATGAACAGCTAAGTTTAGATTTAGGTTCTGGTTTTTATGTTCTACATTTTCAGTTTTGAATAATATCGTACAGGCTTTACGTCTAGTGGTTAAACTTTTTATGTCAGTTTAGTATTTAAAATATGATTTAGATCTTAGGTTTCATTACGAACATATCTCGTAATAGTATTACTTTCTGTATACCTATATCTATTGCGTGATTTTAAAGATGAATAACTGAACAGATTCTAGAATCCACGGCTTGCAATATCTCAGATTTAATATCGCATAAAATATAATAAATTAATTAAAGTAATACTACCTTTTTATATTTTCAATAGCTTTATCTAGGTATATTGTACTTTTCCATAGTCTTTTTCATTGAACATATTTAATATTACGATATTACTTTTAACATAACTTTTCTTGACATATAACGTTATAACCACTATAATGATTATAATTTTACAATGTTATTTACCATCAGAGTCCATCGTGAATAAATATAGTCATTAGTTTTAAGTAATATACAATTGTGTTTTCTTACTCTGTTCATGCCTGGCGCCCAATATTCATATTTTTGATTTTTTATTGTTAATTAGTTTTTCGCCAGTGAAATATAGTATCCACGACTGCTCTCCGATGAAAAGTTCCCGTTTGCAGTGGTAATGTTTAAAAAAACGTTATAGCTTTCGCTTCGAGTTTAAGACGACCCGTGTGTGCACTGTCTAATATTTCAGGAGGCATATCTTCTCTCGTCATAGGAAGCAAAAACAAATACACAGAGAGAACAAAAAAAAGTAAATAACTATAAATTTTAAATATCTATTTACAACTTTTCAAGAACATTTAGTAGATACGTCTATTATGAACCGCTAACGTTCTATTTTAACGACAGGAGGAGATGATATATAGATACAAACTGAAAGCATTTTTGTCCATTATGCAAATTTGTAAATAATACCACTAAAATAAATCGGTCTCCATTGGATCAAGGCGGTGGTAATATTTTTTTTTATTTTGTAAAATTTCTTCTAGTGATAAAAAAAACGGAAGTCTTTATAAAATGATCCGCCAAGTGTGAACTCTTGATAACGGTCAGTGAAACTTCTGACCGAAACGTTGTGTAAGCAAAATAAATAAAGCCAATGGAATTCCAATTTTTTTTAGCCATGTTTCAGTGGTTTTTCACCTACAATGTGCGGTGTCATTGTTTAATAAATTATTATGTTATGTTATAACGAAAAGACAGTTAAATTTTCCCTAAACCATCAGTATTCTGGTACTCAAAACACTTTATTGCCTTCTGATTATGATGAGTTGTTTCACCGTAATTTAATTAAATTCAGTTCTGTTTTTTAAGTTTGTAAAGAACTTTGTTGAATGTTACGTTTGTACTCGGATTAATTTAAATTAGTTAACTAAAATAATATTAATTTTATAATATTTTAAATTGTTTTTTTAAAGATTTCTTTAAAATAAATACATAACTAAAAAAAACAGAGTGGTCCGAATTGTATTCGGGAAACTTCGACAGCAAATTCTGGAGATAAAAAGAAGCAAAAAGTTAGAATAAATTTATGTCCCAAAATGCTTCGTTTCCCAGAAGGGTGTAAAGGTTTCATGTTTATTTCGATTTTTACCATATACTTTCTGAATAAGGTCGATATTTGTATGAAAATTGGTATCTGAGTGTTTTTTGACATAAGAAATTTTATTTCGATGTCAATATGATTCTTAGCTGTAGAGAGCGCCACTTCAATCTTTACTAGATAGTTACTTAGACTATAAAATAAAATTTCTGGATTTTTTTGAACCAAAGGTATACTATAAGGAAACTTATATCATATTTTTTTCCTAGAAAATTTTAAGATAACAAAAAAAAATGTTCCCAAATGTTTTACTTCCGTCAAATAACTACAGTTCATACCAAATAAACTTTTAGTCACGTGATTGATGATGATAGTTTAGTTAACATATTTATTTTTTGGCAGTGATGCCATAATTTCCATTTCAAATATCTTTAGAAAAGTTGCTCGTAGTGATTTTTACCAAGATACTTTTTTTACCTAAAAATTGGCGGAAATGTATATTTTTTTACTTAGCAGTTTAATACAGGTACGGGCGAAAAGTTATTACTTCCCAAAACAGTTAAAAAGCATGTTGGTTGCGCCCCCTACATGTAGGAATACCTAATACAGACCACTTAAAGTTGATTCTCACTATACCTTCCGTTTCCATTCTATATCCATTTCATTCCGTATTTTTTATTGTGTATGGATGGACGCTATATGTAAGCTTCCGTTCTGTATCAGTTCCATACTTTTTATTGTACAATTTATATCATTACGAAAGTTTTATCTTAAGAATTAGTATCTTTTGAAAAAGGTAATAGATTTAATTAAGATAAAGGTAATGTGGCTAGCATTACGCTTCAACCGCCTATTATTACTTCAGGATTGTGAATCTCAAGTACTTATTTAAGACTGAGTCGACCTAGGTACCCAAAACTATTTTTAATTTAATAAAAATAGTCGGCTGATGAAATGCCGTGTGCACGATTCGAACCCACTACCTTGGATTGGTAGACGAGAGCCTGTACCTCTACGCCGCCGGGCACCTTTTATTTATTATATAACCACTTATTGCCAGATTAAGTGGTATTTATTATATAACTATTAATTATAAACTATATTTATTCAATACATTTTTTTTGGCTAAGCGTGTTGACTGTACTCTTCGTATATACGAACATCGGCACTCCAGGTGAGAAAGGCCGGTATTTCTCACTAGTATAAAAATATTTATTTAAATATAACAGGTATGGTGCTTAACAATGATAATAAACGCAATTTAAATTACATTTTAATATTTTATCTCAAAAATTGTTAAAATTTACACGAGAAATTGCTGAACTCCTGCTTATGATAGAATGGAATAAACTAATTAACTGTTTTCTTTGTTTCAGGAATTTCTACTCAAATAGGAACATACAGAACATAAATTATCGCGTTCGGTACCGGAGGCTCTTTACTGGACATAATTAATTAAACGTGGCGTACCAGAAAAACTTCTTACTCCGCATCAGTGAAACTTAAAAATGTGATAAATCTTGCCAGTGCAATAGTATATAAGCAGTTTCGTCGTAACAACGATGTACCTCGGGGTATTTATTAAGTGGGCAATTTTGTGCCTGACTTTAGAACTGTCTTCAGCCAAGACCGTTTCAGCGAAAAATCAACAACAGGAGAAGCTGGAAGGTAAGAGCTTGTTCTTTTTTGTTATTCCTTAATCTTTTGCGAAGCAAAAAAAGCATAGAAATATCAAGCGATGACGAAGATAATTAAGATTTGAACTGAATTTTTAAAATAGGTTTATTTTTATTTGAACCAATTACCGAAAAATTCATTATACCAAAAGGCGTCAGAGTGCTCTTTGAAATCGATAATTTCTGTCCTGGTGACTTCTATACAGGGTGCTACAAATTCGAGGTACAAGCATTGGTATCTCGGAAACCGTAATAGATACAGGGTGACGCCTCTCATACGCCGCGGAGGCTCCAAGGAGAACGACAGTTTGTATTGAAATAAAATTTTGTGAGCGTATGTAGGTTAATTCAGAGCACTTTCTAAAAATATGGAGAGTTGTACAGGGTGTTCCCAAAAAAAGTTACATATCAAAGTTGTGTTTTTTGTAATGGAACACCCTATATATTAATTGGATTTTCGGATTCTGAGAAAAAATAAAGGTGAGTTTTATAAAAGAAGTATATGACTAAAATGTAAGGTTTTTGACATATTTAACATTTTCTAGAAATAAAGAACAATTTTTAAATTACAATAAAATCTACCTAAATTCGAATTTACCCGGCATAGCCTAATAATATGTAGTTAAATAAACTATTGTACTTTAAATCAAATTAAAACTTGAATCAAAAAGTCATACAGGGTGACACAAAATTAACATTGGTTGACACAAAATTAACCTTTAAAGGCATGTTACTCTCTTACTTTAAAAGGAACATCCAGTATATTATTCCGATATTCAATGGAGAATTCATGTCTCTACAAAATACTATTAAGGTTGCCTACCTTAATAGTATTTTCCAAATATGCTAATGAGCCACCCTCGTTCCATTTGAAAAAATTATGATTAAAAATACGATTTGGGCATCTTTTAACCGGCCAGGACAAAACAGTAAAAACATTAGACGATCAAATATATGTTTTCAAGGGTCCTTGATTAAAAATTAGTATCTTTAACACACACAGCCATGGCACTCTAGATTGAAATTTAAAATACGATTTTATTCTAAGTGAAGATGTAAAAAATTACATATGATATGTGATGAGAGTGTCATTTTCTACCGAATAAAGTAAACAAATACCCCGGATGTCATTTAAAAATCAAAAGTTGTAGTCATTTCCGATAAAACAAGAAGTGGCTGAAAAGAATTGAATGGAATACGTTAATCTATTCTCATAAACTAACATACCAAATCTCCTTTTTTAATCTGCAAAAAATAAAAAAAAGTTATAGAGGTGAACCACTTGGTATAGGGTGATTCACGGCGATTATACGTTAGACGTTTATGAAGCACCGGAGATTTTTGTTTGGATTTTCACATAAAGGCGTCTGCTCCACCTATCTAAAGAATTTGCATTATTTGAAGAAATATGCAACCACATCTTTCTTATTTTAAACGGAACATCTGGTATATTATTACATTTTTGGAAACTAATTTCATTACAGTTGAGAGTTGGTAGCTTTTGTTACAAGAGCAAAATAATACACTAATCACCATAATACACCACATCTTTTACTTTTGCACTTTTACGCTTGCACTGGTTTGGTATGTTCATTCATCAGCTATGTTCGCATCATCAGCAGATGATTAAACTGAGCCTATCAAAATCTTTGACAAAAAATTTATAGTCTAATAGCGGCCTAGTACGGTCACAGTAGTATTCTTGGAAGATTACCGAAGGATATTATTGCTGGACCATCAGACTCTCTGACACCTAGGTTGGAACTTGGCAAAAACTTTCTAGTCAGAATTCCAACCAGAAAGGAGTGGGAGACTCATAAACTACTGAAGGAATTTGATATTGCGCTATTCACTGACGGATCCAAGATTGATTCAGGTGTAGGCTCGGGTGTGTTCTCGAAGACATAGCAAGCTCTCACAGGCTTCCGGATAGATCAAGTGTTTTCCAGGCAGAGATACTTGCCATTTGGAAGGCCTGTGAATGGTTGAGCGAGGAGACACCCTATGGGCGGAAAACGGTAATAATTACTGATAGCCAAGCAGCCATGTTGGCGCTGAACTCTTCTACAATATCCTCCAAAATAGTCAAGAAAACGCACGACAAGTGATCCTATATGGCAAGTAGGTATGATATAACCTTGCTTTGGGTTCCAGGCCACAGAACATCGAAGGGAAAGAACGCGCTAATGAACTTACAAGGCGAGGATCGTGCCTTGAGCTAGATGCATCAGAGGAAATTTTTACTCCCCTCAATACCATAAAAACAGACATTTACTACCATTTTCTATCTATGGCGAACAGCAGATGGGAAACTTTAAGCGCCTGCAGGATAGCCAGGAAAACTTGGCCCAAATACGATCTTAAGAAATCGGGAGAGCTCATAACTAAGTCGCGTAAGGATATCACCAGGTTTACGGCGGTAGATACGGGACACTGGCCAACTGGCGATGATGCGGCGAGAATGGGCCTCCCTTTTAACGAAGTTTGCCGAAGCTGCAAGGACCCGAAGGAAGGGAAATCGGTTCTGCATTTCCTGTGCCGCTGTCCTGCTTTGTATAGGACTCGCAACCGTGTCCTCGGTGGTTATAGCTTTGTAAATCTTGAATATGTTGCCAGGAAGAGCATAACAGAAGTCACCCGTTACCTTAATGCTACGATTGATTATAAACAATTAACAGTTCAACTTTTCCATCCCTAGGGATATGGTCTCAGAGTGAGTGGTATCAAAACGGCAATTCTGCTAATTGGAGTTTGAAAAGCGGTCGCACTCGCCACTTCAACCAACCAGCGGCCTAGTACCGGCCTTACACTAACAATCTTTTCATCAAAGTTCTTTTATAAAAACAAATAAATTTTATAGTCTAATACTTCCCTAAATCTGAAAGGTCTAGTCTGTATTAAATAATCATAAAACGATATTCAGTACGCTTTAATAGAACAATAATCCAAAAAATTTAACTTTGTCATAGACGGGTAATGCTTGGTTGGAGTCTTTCTTCGCTTTCTCTTGTTTGCCTCTATTTTTAGAGCTATTTTTAGAGGCCCTTGCTGCATTGAGTTTCATTTTAATTAATTAGAACGGTATTAATTAACTTTTAAGTAAATGACGTCTAGGACGTCTAGGTTCCTCAAAACTATCATCTATCGCCATTCCGCTGCAGTCTTTGATGCCATTCTTTTTACTTTATTTGAAGGTTTAATCTAAAAAAATATTCTTCAATAAGAATGCATTTCTGCGAAAAAAGTAATCTAAAATCGGAATGCCGTAAAACTTACTTATACAAATTTATCTACAATTTAGAGCAGCTTTCCCCTTTTAGTAAACTGACCAAAATAATCCCTAAGGGATTTTTTAATGGAATGTATATATTTTGGTTAGGATAATAGACCGCTGAGGATACGTTGTACTAACAGACAGCCTTTTCTTGCTTTCAAACAGGGCTAAAGATATATCCCCTTTAACAGATGTAAGCAATTACGTATATTTTCGCATAGTTAGAATTTACGTACCACGGGATCTGTTTAAATAGTTGAGTTACTGTGTCAAGTAAGCAGAAATTCTTGTGTTGATTTATGTACAGAGTATATATGCAGTGTGCGTTTTGATATATTAAAAACATAAGGTGGAATATACTGAAATATAAAAAAGCGACATCATTAGATAAATATATATAAAAAGAAATTGAACCATCGTATTTTTATTGAGCTTTTAAACATAATTCATTTTTTTTTTTCACTTTTTGTTTGCATTAAAAATTTAATTTAACTATATTTTGATGTTATATTTTGCAATTGATTAAAAGATAAAAAATGCCTTGGCTTTGCATGTAAAATAACAAATATTAATACTTATCATACGGTTTAATTTAAAAGAGAATCGTAGTTTGTCGCATTATGATAAAAAAATCATCTGTGTATTGAATGTGTGATGTGAATTAGTACACTTTTATAATATAGATTACAGGATGGTGCATTACAGCGATAGTCTAGTTTACATGTATCATTTTTAGTAACATTTTTCAGTATTTTCCGAAAATTTCGAATGTGGTGTCATTCGATTCGTATTGTCACCTAGAAAGTTTTAGGATAAGCCCGAAAAGGCGCTGAAAACAATTTCTAAACAATTAATTTGAGAAAAAAAATCAAAAAAGATGAAGAAATTTGCTAAAAAAAATTGCAGCTCCCGGAATGGGATTGGAATTTTTGAACGCCGTTTGTTTGGACCAATTCATTATAATTTTTAAATAGTTTTTTATAATTTTAACACTACATTTACAGGTAAATAAGTAAGGTAAATATATAATAATAAGTGTAGGTACCAACTTTAACAATATTCCCATTAGCTATCATCCATTTCTTATTTATATTGCCAAGTATATTCAGAACTTAAGTCTTAAAGAGTAATTACAACTCAGCATTATACGGAATAAATGTTTACTCATAACAATTCAATTAAATTGGAGTAAAGATTAATTCATTTAATTTATAGTCCTGGATTAAACCTCGCTCCTGGACACATTACATCCGCTTAATACCACTTTAAGATAAACTTTCTTGTTATATGTGTTTGGAGGAACTTTCTTGACACAAACTGAACAGATTGTGTACACTTTATGACAATCTAAGGAAACATATTTAACTAATTAGTCTACTAGTATTATATACTAATTATATATATTTTTTACTTGCAGATACATATTTTCATTTAGTTATTTGATATTATACACATATTATAATGTTAATATATTTCATTTAATCTGTACGTTACACTTGCTCTTATTATAATTATTTTATTGTAAATAATTTCGATACGTTTGCGGCGAGTTCATTTTTTGAAAAGAATTCTAGGTTTTTCGCCACTGAAAAAAATTGGGCAAATTTTGTTTACGGGTAAAAACCCACTGGCATTATATGCTAGTTTCCGTTTGGATTTTACACAGTGGTTTTTTATAAAAAAAAATTATACACTCAGATGCAAGAAAACGCAACGGA